GCTGTCGCGCTTCGGGAGCCGAGCCGCGTCCCGGCCTACGGGATATTTACTTGCAGCGGCCGGGAGAAGAGCGAATAAAAGGGTCTTTATCACGATCAAGATGCCAATAGTAAGATTAATAAAATGCATTATTTATAAGGCAATTAGCATAAACAGAATATGTAAGCACCAGTGTATTAAAAAAATCTTTCCACAGGCAGCAGATTTTTAGCAGCGTGAGTTTTTTTTTTTTTTTGTCGTCTTCTTCTCCTGGAATAATACAAGAATAACATTTTCCAGCCAAGAGCAGAAACAGTAGGGGAGTCTCTGCTATCACAGAGCTTCTTATTAAATCCAGTCACTGTGAAAAGCGAGCCCTTTTTTTTTTTTTCTAAATAAAGACAACTTAAAATCAATACAAGTTAGATTAACAAATCAGTACTGTACTAATCCTGATTTATTACAATCGCCAATATTAAGTTTAATCACGTATAAACTGCTAGTCTAAAAAAGACTGTGCTTTACTAAGTCCCGAATTAAATAATGGAGGAGAGTGTACTGAGTTTTTAGATCTGCATCATCTGATATTATGAAAAATTCAATGTACTTCTCTGCAGCAGATGTCAGAGGTCAGCAACTCTATTACAGTAATGTAAGTAAGCTGGCTTTCTGCCAACCTTTTTTTAAAAAACACTGAAGCAGATAATTTTATATTTACAAATTCTAAAATCCTCCAGGGACTGAATCTCTTTCCCAACAAAAAGCAGAAACTTCACATTAGAGAAATGTATTTCACAGCATATCAAACATGTCTTCATCATTAGCATTTCATAAAAAGAACAAAAAAGCCCTTAATCTTTATTAGTCAACATTTTTTCCCAGCCACAGAAGTAACAATACAAGATCTAGTTTCAGCCGGTCACCGCTGCGTTTTCACGTATTGATTATGCAGCACGAGTGACTTTTTTTGGCCCAGCTCTGCCTCGCAGGACGCATGAGAGCACATCTATTTATAGACACGATTAAAAAACAAACCAAAAAATAGCAGTCACAATAACGCAAAGGATCTGACTGAGCCAGGAGGAGGAAGGAAACGAAGCGCCCAGGCGGCCAGCGTCCTCCCCGGCCCTCCCGGCCGCCTTCGGATACCGCGGGGCGCCCGACCCCCCGGCACAAACCCAAACCTTTGGGCTACTTTCTACCTAGCGTTTTGGCACCGGTGTTTTGCTGCCGGTTCCCTGTCCGTCTCCCGTGGGCATCACCGATCTCCCATGGGCATCGCCGATCTCCCATGGGCATCGCCGATCTCCCGTGGGCATCGCTGATCTCCCATGGGCATCACCGATCTGCCATGGGCATCGCTGATCTCCCGTGGGCATCGCCCCGTCTCCCATGGGCATCACCGATCTGCCATGGGCATCGCCGATCTCCCATGGGCATAGCCCCGTCTCCCATGGAGATCAACGATCT